ATTAAACAAAAAATTCAAGACCTAAGAGAAGTCTAAAAAAGAAAAAGGGGAAAAGAAAACATAAGGGATTCAATGGAGCTGAACTGTTGACCTCCCTACCTGAGAAGTTGATACTTGTAATTCTTAAAAACTGTACCACTAATAGTACAGCTAGAAGAACTATACATAGACAGAGGGTACAATATAAGGTGAATTTGAGGGAATGACATAAAAAAATAACTAAGGGATGAGAAAGAAGAGTACATTGGGTGTAGAAGGAAGGGAGGGATAGAATGGGGTAAATTATGTCATATGAAGAGGTGCAAAAAACCTATCCCAGTGGAGGGAAAGATGTGAAGGTTGGCAATGGGCATCACTTGAACCATACTCTCATCAATATTGGCTCAAAGAGAGAATAATATACACTTTCAGTTGAATACAGAAATCTATCTTACCTGACAGGAAATTAGGAGGGGAAAAGATTTAGTAAGGGGGAAGTGGGGCAGAGAGGGACTGACAGAAGAGAAGGTAAATGAGGGGAGGCAGCAGACAGAAGCAAAACACTTGGTAGGATGGAAAGAGTGAAAGGAGAGAGAGGACAAACAGAAAGAAAAATAGGATGGAGGGAAATCCACAGTAATCATAACTGTGGATGTGAATGGGATGAACTCTACCATAAAATGGAAGCAGATAGCAGAGTGGATCATAAACCAGAATCCTACAATACGTTGTTTACAAGAAACACACTTGAAGCAGAGAGACATACACAGAGTAAAGGTAAGGGGCTGGAGCAGAATCTATTATGCTTCAGCTGAAGTAAAAAAAAGGAGTAGCATTCCTGACCTCAGACAAAGCAAAAGCAAAAATACACCTAATTAAAAGAGATAAGGAAGGAAACTACATCTTGCTAAAAATTACCATAGACAATGAGGTAACAACGATACTAAACATGTATGTACGAAGTGGTATAGCATCCAAATTCTTAAAGGAAAAATTAAGTTACATATTCAGGACCAAATAAGAGATAGAGAACATTATGGGATGTGAGACAGATCATTTTGATTATATTAAATTAAAAAGCTTTTGCACAAACAAAACCAGTGCAACCAAGATTAGAAGGAAAGCAGAAAGATGAGAAACAATTTTTACAAACATACAGAGAATGGAGTCAAATTTTTAAAAATACACGCCATTCCTCAATTGATAAATAGTCAAAGGATATGAACAGAAAGTTTTCAGATGAAGAAATCAAAGCCATCTGTAGGCATAAGAAGAAGTGTTCTAAATCACTTTTGATTAGAGAAATGCATATTAAAACGACTCTGAGGTATCACCTCACACCTATCAGATTGGCTAATATGAAGAAAAGGAAAATGATAAGTGTTGGAGAGGATGTGGGAAAATTGGGACACTAATGTCCTGTTGGTGGAATAGAGAACTGATTCAATCATTCTGCAGAACAATTTGGAACTATGCCCAAAAGGCTATAAAGTTACACATACCCTTTGATCCAGCAATATCACTACTCGGTCTGTATCCCAAAGAGCTCATAAAAAAGGGAAAAGGACCTATATGTGCAAAAATATTTATATCACTCCTTTTTGTGGTGGCAAAGAATTGGAAATTGAGGGGATGCCCATCAACTGGAGAATGGCTGAACAAGCTATGGTATATGAATGCAATGGAATGCAATAAGAAATGATGAGCAGGCAGATTTCAGAAAAACCTGGAAAAACTTACATGAACTGATGCTGAGTGAAGTGAGTAGAACCAAGAGAACATTGTACACAGTAACAGCAACATTGTGTGATGATCAACTATGAGTAACTCAGCTCTTCTCAGCAACACAATGATCCAAGACAAATACAAGGGATTTAAGAAAGAAAATGCTATTCACATCCAAAGAAAGAACTATGGAGTCTGAATGCAGATCGAAGCATACTATTACCTCTCTTTTTTTTCCTTCTTTCTCATGATTTTTCCCTTTTATTCTGATTCTTTTTTCACATGACTAATGTGGAAATGTTTAATATGACTGTATATGTATAACCTATATCAGATTGCATGCTGTCTTGGGGAGGGGGAAAAATTTAGAAATCAACATCTTATAAAAGTGAATGTTGAAAACTAAAAATAAATAATTGTCTTGACATGTAATTGGGAAAAAATAAAATATTATTTTAAAAAATTATACTAATGTTTTTAGTCCCATTTTGTTAATTTGGCACTATAAACATACTGTAAATTGTTATACTGTAGGCTGTTTATCACAAGTTTACCACATAAAGGAATTATCTTTGTAAATGTGTCACTACTCTCCCTCTTCCTCCTACTGTGCTTTCAAGCTGGGAATTTCATTTCATACTTAATCAGAAAAAAAAAAAAAGGTTATTCATGAAGAGTTCTGACATTTCACATCCCCCACGGAGTTCCTCCAATTTATGATGATGAGGCAGCCCTTTCACTCAACAAGTCCAACCCCTTCTATACACACCCTTTACCTTATTCCATCCCATTTTCTCTAGCAGATTGTTCCCTCTATTATCCATACTCTCACTCTAATCTTCAATGTATACTTATCTATCAGCTTCCTCCTTGCTTATCTACAAGCATACCCAAGTCCCCTCATCATTAGAAAAACACTTGATCTTATGATACCCATCAGGTATCTCCCTCTTTCTTTCCCTTCTCAGCAAAATTCCTTCCAAAAACTATACCTGACCCAATGCCTCTACTTTCTCCTCTTTCATTCCCTTCTAAACCCTCTGTAATATGACTTCAACTGAAATTTTCTCTCCAAAGTTATCAATCTGTTTTAATTTCCACATCGAAAGACCTTTTCTCAATCTTCTTCCTTTTTGAACTCTATGAAGCATCCAACATGATTGAATGCCTTCATTCTGGGTTTTTGTGACACTGTTCATTGTATTCCCTTCTCCTGTCTGACCTCTCTTGAGTTTCATTTGCTGAACTGTCAACCATTTCAAGCCCTCTCACTATTCATGAAACCCAAGGCTCTGTCCTGGGCTCTCTTCCCAACACTTCTCACTTGGTAATCTCATCAGCTCTAAGCAGATGATTCCCATTTCTATATATGCAGCCCTAGTCTCTCTCATGAGTTTTAATATAGCATCATGAACTATCTATTGTACCTTTCAAACTAGATGTCCTGGAGGCATCTCAAACTGAATTTGTCCAACACAGAATCCACAATTTTTTCTCAAAACCCTCCCCTCTCTGAATTTTCCTGTTACTGTTAAGGTTAACACCATCATCCCAGACACCCAGGTTTTCAACCTCAATGCCACCCTCTTTTTTCTAATTCAAAAAATCCAACTAGTTAGCAAATATTGTAATTTGCCCCTCTAAATCTAAATAAGGGAAGGGGAAGGGAATAAGCATTTATATAGCACCTATTATGTGCAAAAAAAATTGTGCTAAGTGCTTTTTACAAATATTATCTCATTTGGTCCTCACAACAACTCTAAAAGGTAGGTGCTATTATTATTTACATTTTAAATTAAATTAAGGCAATTAAATTAAAGCAAACAGAGGTTAAGTGACTTGTCCAAGATCACCCAGTTAATAAACTATCTAAGGCCGAACTTGATCTCAGGTCTTCATTCCAGACCCAGTGTACCATCCGTGGTGCCTCCAGCTGCCTCTTCACTCACAGACCTACGAGCCCAGCTCAGGTCCTCATCACCTCTACTACCTGATCTCCCTGGCTCAAGTCTTCTCCAAGACCAAGCCATCAATCTTCTCCAAGTATGGGTTCAACCCTATCACCCTGTCATCGGTATTCAGTGCATCCCTTTTACCTCTACAGTCAGAGTTCTTCAAACGTGCAAATATGACCCTTTTCTATCTTTCCAGGATTGTTACCTTTACTGCCCTCCTCACCCTCTGCTTGCACATACTCATGCACACGTGTGCACAAACAGGAACAGACACAGACACACACAGACACACACAATGAGTGATTGATAACTGCTTGCTGCCTTGTACATGACTCTCCATCTCCTGACCCATGCCTTTACACACATGCCTGCAATGCTTTACCTCTGAACCTCCAACTCCTGGGATCCCTGTCTCCCTCTAAGACCTGGATCAAGTGCTTCCTTTTTTCAAAAGACCTTTTCTGGGCACATCCCTCCAGCTGCTGGTGCCATCTTCTCTAAGGTTGCCTTGCAGCTTCCCTAAATGTATTCTGTATGTTCTCATTTTCACACATTTGATGTTGTCCACACCATTACAATGTTAAGCTCCTTAAGAACCAGGGATTTTGTTTTTACTTTTTGACCCAAGAGCTTAGCACCATGCTTGTAACTGTTAGCAATGAATAAATGTGTGTTGTTTGAATGATGTGGAAAAAAAAGTTCAAAGTAATTTATACTGTGAAAACATGTAAACACAAAATACCTTAGTGATAATTTCTCTCAAAGTTGCCCAGTAGATCAAGCTCTGGCCTGGAGTCAGGAAGACCTGATTTAAAATTTAGCCTCAGACACTTATAGCTGTGTGACTGTGTGCAAGTCATTTAACCTTTGTTTGCTTCAGTTTCCTCAGCTGTAAAATAGGGACAATAATAGCACTTCCCTTATAGAGCGGTTGTGAGGATCAAATGAGATAATATTTGTAAAGTGATCAGAACAGTGCCTGGCACATACGAGGTGCTTAATAAATGCTTGTTTCCTGCCTTCCCTCCATGAAGAAAAACTATCATAATTTGCATTCCCTTAATTAGAAGCTCTCTCAATTTCTCATTTAGAAATTGGTATATTGAATAGAGTACTATATTTGAAGTGAAAGGGTCTGCTACTTATGACCTAAAAGAATTAGACCAAGTAATACAACCTCACCAGTTCTCAGTTTCCTCCTCTGTAAATTGAAGGAGCTAAACTTTATGATCTATAGTCCCTTCCAAATCTAAATCCTAGGACACGTCTAACGGCACATAACGCATATGGAAGGGGCCAAAGACTCAACGACCAAATGAAAATAATAATGGCTTCGTGTACCTGCTGATAAAAGAAATTCAAAGTTGGCTTGTCTTCTGTAAACTGGTTCAGAAATCCTTTTGGCAAATAACGAATTCTCAACTCATATCTAGAAGAGCAAAAAAGAGAACAATTAAGTTAAAAATAATGATTATGAAAATTCAGTCTATAAAAAGAATTCATTTATATAGTGGTTCACAAACTGCTTTCATCAAAATCCTCTGTATGTGGAATATATTTTAAGTATTATTATTCCCATTTTGTAGATAAGGAAACTATGGTTCATGAAGATCAAGAGACTTGCAGAAGTTCTCATAAACAGAAAGCACTGATAGAAAAGCCAGGACTTAAACCCAAATTACTCCTGACTACTCATCTAGGACTCATTCTACTACATCATAATTTCTCTCTATCATATTATAGATACCATATCACTAAAATTATGCTACTGCCAATACAGGATACAGAATTGATTCATATTTAAATATTCATATTTAAATATGAATCAATTCTGTATCCTAAGACTAAAATGCAGAATATGGCTATAAGAACTATCCATTTGGCATGAAAGAGATATTTTAAACCTTTGTATACAGTATCTAACATAGATGCAGTATAGTGCAAAGAAAACTGGCTCTAGAAACAAAAACCATGGATTCAAATCTTGCCTTTAATTTGGGCTTCAATTTCCCTCTGAATAAAAGGAGTTTGGCTAGATGACCTCCAAGTACCTTCCACGACTAAATTCTACATTATGACTTTTCTACTTTGGCACACAGTAAAGAACTAGAAAAAAAAGAGAGGTTTTGGGGAGTTTCAGAGAGGAAGATTTAAAAGAATCCTAGGATTGGAAAAGACACCAAAGATCAAAAATGAATGAAAAACTACTTATTAAGTGCTTACTATGGGAAGCATTGTGGGAAATACAAAAAGAAGAGTAAGATAGTTTTATTTTCTCAAGAAGCTTACATTCTAATAGGCAATGAAAACATATACAGAATATCTTAGTTGCTAAGTGATATGGAAAGATCCAACAGCAGGAGTGGGGAACCTGCGGCCTTGAGGCCACCTGATTCACTATGCATTCCAGCTTCCATTATAATTATATATTGCTCCTATAGATTATTATACATACATATACATTATATTATATATATTATTATATTATATATTGCTCATCAGTCTAATTTATGTTCTAAACAAAATGACCTTGCTATTCTTCAAACATAGCATTACATTATCCTAGTAACCTTGAACAGGTCTTTCTTCCATGCCTGGAATGCTCTCCCTCCTCATCTCCACTTCATGGAATCTTTTACCTCCCTTAAGAAGGCTCAGTTAAAGTGTTGCCTTCTACATGAACTTTCCTGATCCCTCTAATTGCTAGTGCCCCTTCCTTCCTAAGCTACCCTACTTTTATTTTGAATATATTTACATATGTCCATGTAGTTCCTTGGGATCAGGGGCACCTTTATTTTTGTCTTTGTATCCCAGACACCAGGATGGTGTCTGGCATATGGGTATGACTGACAGAAAGAGTATGGGATAAATGATGCTCCGTTAGTATCCATGCTATGTCCAAAGATCTAGATTAGCTTTTTAAGATGATCCCCAAGAGAAGAAGAAAGAACATAGATCAATGAAGTCCTTTCCCCATTTTGGTGAATTCAAGGCACAGAAGAATTAGATCCAAGGCAACTGAAAGAATTGATATATGTGGACACTTGGCCATCACTGATGATCCCTGGAAGATGATGGAGAATGGCAGACACTGCTACAGAAATGCAGAATGGCAAATGTCCTGATTTTCAAGAAGTGGAAGATAGGGAACCTAAAAATTACAGGCCACTGAGCTTTAACTTCAATCTTTTCTTTTTTTTTAGGCTCTACTTACACACTCATATTAAATATTTTTTCACATTAGTCATGATGTAAAGAAGAAATAGAACTAATGGGAGGAACCACAAGAAAGAAGAAACAAAACAAAACAACAAAAGAAAAGGAGAGCAAATAGTATGCTTCCATCTGCATTCAGACCCCAGAGCTCTTTCTCTGGATGTGGATAGCATTTTCAATCACGAGTCTTTTGGAGTTGTCTTAGATCCTTGCATTGCTGAGAAGAGCTAAGTCTATCAAAGTCAGTCATTGCACAATGTGGCTATTATTGTGTACAATGTCCTTTTGGTTCTGCTCATTTTATTCAGCATCAGTCCATAAAAGTCTTTCCAGGTTTTTCTGAAGTCTGCCTGCTTATTTCTTACAGCACAATAGTATTCCATTACATTCATATACTACAGCTTGTTCAACCATTCTCCAATTGATGGGCCTCCCCTCAATTTCCAATCCTTTGCCACCACAAAAAGAGCTGCTATAAATATTTTTGTACATGTGGGTCCTTTTCCCATTTTTATGAACTCTTTGGGATACAGACCTAAAAGTGGTATTGCTGGGTCAAAGAGTATGCACAGGTTTATGGCCCTTTGGACATAGTGCCAAATTGCTCTCCAGAATGGTTGCATCAGTTCAGAACTCCACCAACAATGCATTAGTGTTCCAATTTTTCCACATCTTCTCCAACATTTATCATTTTCCTGCTTTGTCATGTTAGCCAACCTGATAGGTGTGATATGATACCTCATAGTCATTTTGATTTGCATTTCTCTAATCAATAGTGATTTAGAGCATTTTTAAAATATGACTATAGATAGCTTTGTAAGATTTGTCATCTCACCACAGATGAACTCCCTCTATCAAACAGGAACTTATGACTATGACTTGGCATAAGGAGTTGCTCAAATTGCAAAGAATTAAAGTTATACAGAAAACCAAGCTTCATGGGAAAGATCTGAACTCAAAGTCTTTCTGACTATAATACTAGACACTACATGGCCACCACACTGCATTTACTCTCCACTCCAACTCCTGAGATCACTTCACATGCTCTTGGTCCCCTCAACCTGAGCAGTAGCCAAGCAGTCTCTAGTGTATATGAATAGGAGAATAAGTGAATAAAATGAGTAAAACTGTGAATTCACACCACTCCAACTGAAGTATCAGTAATTTATCCAACAAAGATGGATAAGTATCCACAGGGTACAACAGTATTGTACAGTAATTTCTTCTTTGTTAACAGAGAACAGATCCCTCCACATGATACAAAGGAAATAAAAAAGGATAATTTCTTAACTCTCAGAAAGATTCTCCTCACAACTTTGCTATCTCTTTTTACTTTCTTCTACCTAATACAATAGTCCAAAAAGTTGTCATCATCTTATGCCAAAGTTGAACATTAATATATTAGAGTCTGGACAGCAAAAGTTCTTGGCAAATATCTATCACAAAACTAACATCATTAGCATGGATGCCAATTTTTATTCCCACTTGAAAAGTAATAAAACACTTACTTAAAGTGTTACTGTTTATAAATTCAAGTGGTTTCCCTCGATTGTCCATATTTGAAAACTTCTACACTAAAAAAAAAATTAAGAACACCTGAAATTTGAAATGATCTCAAAAATCACTCATTTTTTTTTTTTTGCTCACAACTCCTTACCCCTACCTCTCGTAACCAAGGTTTTTTCAGGACATAGTTCAAATCTGACCTCATTCAAGAGGCTTTTCCTCAAGGACAAGGTTGTTATAACCCTCTCCTCAATAATTTTATATGATTGTGTGTGTGTACACATATACCTCTTTTACAAAATATATACTTCAAATGTTATAAACCAATATATATTATATAATTTAATATTGCATATATACACACATACACATATATATGAAACTCTTGTATTAACTTTCTCTGTGACCATGTTTTATCCCTCCTGTAGAATGTAAGCTGGAGAGTAGTGATTATTATTCTTAAGTATTTTTATCCCCAACTGGTACAGTGCCTTGAAACATATTAGTTGCTAACTACATACTTTTCTAATTAATCAACTACCTGATTAAATTATGAAAGCAAAGAATGCTACATTAAGAGTAAGAAAACCTGACTTTAAATATCACCTCTATTGTGTGCTACCTGAGTGTCCTTGGGTAAATTAGTTAATCTCCCTGGCCCTCAGTTTCTTCATCTATAAAATTAGTGAGTTAGAATAGACTCCCCCAAAGTCTGTTTCAATTCTATGAGCCTACACATACAAACAGAAGTAATGTTGAAGTATTTTTCATTAATGTTGAACAAAATATAGCAAGATAACAAAAAAAAAATGCACTTTTCATTACAGGTTCTACTTAGTAATATTTAAAAAAATAAAACATGCATTATAATATTTTAAATAAATCTTATAAATACCAGATTATAAATAACATAAATTAAAAATTAAATAGTATTTTTTTTAAATGAGAAAGTGGAATGCCATTTCAAAAACAAACAAAAAAAAACCAAACCAGGCTTTCAATTGCTGTCTTTTAGAGTGTTCTCATCTCAGTATTGCTGCTTTTTTTTTTCCCTTTGAAAAAGACACCTTTCTTCTACATAAAGAGCTCATTTTTTCAAAGGACTGGAAAAATATCCTGTTTGGCTTGTGAGGAACTGTTGACCAACATTTAACAGCAGAGCGCTAAGTAGTAGAATGTGAGCTTCATCTTGATAGCAACTGAAATGTTCTTGTTTATTTGAACAGAAAGCCAGTAATTTGCATAAGACCTAAATACTCTGATGCTCAAAATCTAACTAATGTTAATTCTCCCAAAATTGGTTCTCAAATCCCAGAATTTAAAATTCTCATATAATAATGGATAATTTTCAAAACATATAGATCGTAAGACTTTATTTATTCGGCCCTATTGGGGGGAAGGGAGAGGAAAGGTTGTTCACAAGTGAAATTTCCCAGTACCCAAAGCTTTCTTCAAAAACTTTCAACATGTGTTACTGGAAATCTTTCTAAAATATAGTACACACTTTACTGCCATGGTGAACAGAGAACTCTGAATACAATTTAAACTTTTTTTGATCACCCAGAGATATCATTATATACATCAGGTATGTGTGTTATAATATACTTCAAAGACTAAAAAGAAAAAAAAATTAGAGGGTATACATGTAAACATGGTGATTTTTGTTATTTTAAATAAATGAAAATGAGAAAATTATCATCACTTAACAAACACTGCTCACCTCAAAATTACCAATATTCTATGAATTGTTAAATCCAATAGCCTTTTTAAAATTCTTATCCCTCTTGGTCCCTATATTTGATACTACCGACCAGCCTTTATTTCCCTTTCTTTGTCTTGTTTTTCCTTTTGCCTGTCTGCTCTTTCCCAATCTCTTTTACAGCATGATCATTCACACCATACCCCAAATTATGGGTGTACTACAAGATTTTGTCCTAGCTCTTTTTCTTCTCTCTCAGTAACTTCAACAGCTTCCACAGGTTCAAATATCATGTCAATGTGGATGACTCCCAAATATGTACAGTTAATTCTCATCTCTCTTGGGATTCAGTCTTATACCACCAATTGCCTATTGGGTATTTTGAAATGAATGTCCTGTAGGCATTTAAAAATCAATATAACCAAAATATAATTCATTACTGCTCCCTATCCACCTCTCAAATTCATTTCCAAACTTGCCTTTTTCCGTCAAGTATACCATCATTCTACCAATCACCTAGGTTTGAAACCCTGGAATCATGCTTGATTTCTCATTACCCATCACCACATACACCCCATTAGTCACCAAATTTTACCATTTTCACATGGACAACATCTCTTGCATCAGTCCTCTTCTCTCCATTCACACCATTCTCTTTAACACTTATTTCACAGAGCTGTTGTGAGGATCAAATAAGATACTTGTAAAAGCTCTTAGCATAGTATCTGTCATATAGTAGGCACTATCCAGGGGTGGGGAACCTGCAGCCTCCAGGCCACATGTGGAACATAAGGTCCTCAAGTACAGCCCTTTGACTGAATATAAACTTCACAGAACAAATCCCCTTTAAAAAAGGATTTGTTCTGTAAAACTTGACTCAGTCAAACGGCCACACCCAAGGACCTAGAAGGCTACACGTGGTCTCTAGGCTGCAGGTTCCCCACCCCTGCTTGACTATACAAATGCTTATCCCCTCCTTTTCCTTCCCCACAGCTACCTTAGTTCAATTCCTCATTACCTCTGGCCTACAGTATTTCAACAACCTCCTAATTGGCTTTCTCGCATCAAGTCTATTCCCACTCTAATCCATCCTCCAAGTCATGTCAAATCAACAATAATTTATTAAGCACCTACTATGTGTCAGGCACTGAGTGGAGTGTTGGAGATATAAAGAAAGGGGGTGGGGAAAGAAATAAACAGTCCCTGCAGCCAAGAAGCTCACAGTCAAATTAAAGAGACAACATGCAAACAACTATGTACAAATAAGATATAGTCAGGATATGTTGGAGATCATCTCAGAGGGAAAGCATTAACATTAAAAATGAGTGGGAAAACATTCTTATAGAAGGTGGGCTTTTAGCTGAGATTTGAAGGAAGGCAAGGAAGCCAGGATGTAGAGGTAAAGAGGGAGAGAATTCCAGGCAGGGGGACAGCCAATGAAAATGCATAGTGAGGAGACAGTGTAAGGTACAAAAAAGAAGACAATATCACTGGATTGCAGAACACGTGGTGAACACATTTAAGGTTGGAAAAGTAAGAAGTAGCAAAGTTATAAAGGGCTTTAAAAAGCCAAGCAGAGGATTTCATATGTGATCCTGAAGATTGAATAGGGTTAGACTTTAGGAATAACAATTTAACAGCTAAGTGAGAGATGGACTGGAGTGGGGAGAGACTTGAGCAAGGAAGACCAACCAGAAGGCTACTACAATGTCCAGGTGTTAGGTGACGAAGGCCTTTTTCAGGGTGGTAGCAGTATCAGAAAACAGTTGGGGACATTTACTACGGATGTTTCAAAGGGGAAGTAGACAGAACTTGGTAACAGATTGGATAGGGGCAGTGAAAAGAGAGTGAAGAGTCAAAGATGATACCTACTTTGTGAGCCTGGGCAACTGGAAGTATGCTGATGCTCTCAACAGTTATAGGAAATTAGTAAGAGAAAAAGAGGTTTGGGGGGCAAAGATAATGAATTTTTGGAATGTGGCATTGAAGATATCTAGGGAACACTCAGTTTAAGATGTCCAAAAGGCAGCTAGGGCCTAGAAGTCAGAAGAGTGGTTATGGCTGGATAAATAAACCTGAGAATTATTCTACCTCCACATTTAGTTGACAAAGGGATTTTCCTACAGCACAAGTCTGACAATGGCACTTCCTTACTTAATAAAGGCCAGTTTCTAAAGTCCCCTGTTTTCAGAAGCAAACATGAATTACTCTGTTTGGTAGTTGAAGTCCTACACAACCTGGCTCCCACCTATTTTTATAGCCTTAGCACTCCCCCTTTACATCCTCTTTGCTGGCCTTTTCCCTTTTCCTTTCATGACATTTCATCCCATCTCCATATCTCTGCACAGATTGTTTCCACGTCTAGAATGCACTCCTTTACTTGTACCTCTTACATGATGCCTTTTCTGAGCCAGCTGTACTATAGTGGTCTCTCCCACCTCCCCATAAATTACCCAGTATTTACTTTATGTACATTTATTTTGTATTTATTTCATGTGCATTTGTTGTTTTCTCTGACAGACTGTAAGCTCCTTGAGGGCAGGGAATGTTTTCTTTTAACCTTTTCATCCCCCATACTTGGCACAAAGTTGGTGCTTAATGAATTCTTATTGATTGACTGAATGATGGATTCTCTATCATATACCAGACTCCATGCATGGAATACAATTCCTTCTAATTTTTTATGTCATTCCCATACTTTAAGGTCCAACCCATGTGCTACCTTCTCTACTAGTCCTTCCTTGATTACCCAGCTATAAGTCCCCCCCACCATCTTGTATCTTTCAAGCAATTATGTTTGACCTCTACTATGCATCTAACATTTTCTAACTACCATTACAATTATTTTTTCATTCATTTCATTCATTCTACAAGAGCTTATGAAGTATATACTATGAACTGAGGCAAAAACAAAGTTTAAATACAAGAATCCCTGTCATCATAGAGCTTACAATTAAGACAAAAAATAACAAACACAAGTAAGTATAATGCACAATTTTACATGATAAGTATATTAGAGAGTTCTAAGATGAAGTACTATGTATAGTAGGAAAGGTCTTATAGAATACTTTAAACATAAACCTCTTAAAGGTAGAAACTATGTCACTGTTCCTTTTTATAACCCAAATAGAGTTTTATTTTGATGTTTAATCATGAAGTGAAGAAGTTCTCAAAGACTATGACCACAAGGCCTAAGTTTTGACAGACCATACCAGAAAAAGACTATGCTTGAAAACTAGCCAAACTAAGCTTAGGCTCATTAATACGCTGTTCTAAAACGTGAGGCAATACTCAATAAAAATCTACTAAGCTGCAGGAGGGTTATCTATGCTGGTGGAAAATGTTAACAAAAAGATAAAATTATAGATCTCTAGTATTTGGAAAAAAAAAAAAAGGTAAACATTACCAGCTCTAAGAGCAACATCGTGTATTGGTTTAGCAAACTGAATCTTAGGAAAAAGAGGATACGATGTCTACGTAATCCACATCACTGTAGCAGCAGCCTCAGTGCCATCTGCAAGATCATGTCTTGATCACTTTCTGACTATAATTCCCCATATAAATATCAAATACCACTCCATTATTTTTAGTCTGTGCCATATTTTACTAGGTAGAGTGAGGTAAAGCAAACTGTGGCTACAGCAATGAGGGAATTAGGTACCCCTGTGCAGGTATATGAAAAAGAGAACTGCTGCACAGAATAATTGATAAAAAAGAATCAGTTGTGAGGCATCTTTCAAGAGATTGAAGTCAAGGTAACAAAGGATCTCTGGCTCACAAATACATTTTAAAACATGAAGTGAGTTGACATCACATCAAACTGGAAAGTTTAATCTTACTTCCACTCCTCCGGTGGGTGGGCTAGTTCATATTTTTCTCTCACATTGGAAACACCCATATCCAAATGTAGCCAGTGAACTTCCTCTGAACGAAGATGACTGAGTCGAAATCCATAACAGGCCACATGCTTTACTTTGTGACTGTCCACTATCTTCTGAATGATGCCCTGAAATGTGTCCCCCACAAAAAGAAAGTACACTTATTACAAACATTTATTACAAGTTCTACATTTACATTAAAGTCAAGCATTAGAAGTTTTATCATTATCCAATTAAAGAAGTATACTTATATTTTATTGGGAATTTTTATTTCCTTACTTGCAATGTTTGGGAAAACAAAATCTAGGTACTTTAGTTCATGCTGTCAAATTATTTTCAATGAAAACTTTACATAGATGATATGTATATCCATATACTGTGGAGAAAGGGATGCTGGTCTTGCACCTGTGTATTTTTAGTCATTAATAAACAAAAACCACTGTCAGCATTGTCATTTAAGGGGTTTAGTAAATATTTTGGATGATGCTGATAATGGTTTTGAAATGCAAAGCTGCTTATTAAAATAATCAATGCTACTACTTTATAAGCTAGTGAACTTATAAACTTCATGAAATTTTTACCTTGTTAATCCTAATGTATCTGTGGTACTTAAAGTTCCTTCTTTACTCAAGTATTTTTTTAAGGATCTACTTATATTTAGTACTAGGCTAGAAGTTGCAGGAGATAAAAGGACAAATAAGATATTGTCTCTGTCCTTAAAATGATTACAATCTACTTGAGAAGACAAGAGTTCTACAAAGGAAAAAACTTAAATAACAACACAGGCAGGATGTAGCATGCACCATAGGCAGTAAGGGCTGTCAGAAGACAGAGGAAGAAAAGATCTCAATGAGCTGCAGAGCAGAGGAGAGTTTCCAAAAAGAGGTGAGTCTTAAAAATGATCTCTACCTGACTATATTTGATTCAGGTGGGTACGTTATTCTAGTTTATTTACTCCTCAAAGGTGATATCCAAGGACCTCCTTATTTCCTCATTCCCAATAGATGTAGCAACATTCTGAACTAAGAAAAATAACTAGTTATGGGAACAGAAGTGATACTTTTAAAGTATTATACTAAACTGCCACGAAATCTTGTAGCACATGTGTCACACCTTCTTCCTGTAAATTATATTACAGTAATAGTTATATCATTTCTTTCTTTCAACACTGATAGACACTAAAAATACACTCAAATTATCTCATTTCAACAACTTTCTAACTGGTCTCCCTGCTATAAGCCTCTCTTCTCTCCAATCTACCGTTCACCCAGCTGCCAAAAGGATTTTCCTAAAGCATAGGTCTGACCATGTTACACCCTACTCAGTAAACTCTACTGGCTACTGTTACTTCCAGGATCAATCATCAACCGTGTTGGCATTCAAAGCTCTACACAAACCAGCCTCTTTCCTACTCTACAGCCCACATACACAACAAGCGTTCATTAAACTTTTGCTTGATGATTTCTTGTGAGAAAGAACTTACTAACATCTCTTCCTATTTGGGGTCACTCTGATTATTAGGAAGATTTTTAAAATCAAGCCCCCTGCCTATTCTACAAATTTCTTCCCCTCTACACACTCTACAAACTAGACAGGACCGGGTTACTTGCTGTTCCTCTCACAAGATATGTCATTTCCCATCACATCCCATTCACATCTTATTGTGACTTTGTGCTCAATGTCTTTCATGCCTAAACTGTTGTTCCCAACTTTGCTCCACCTCTCAGAATCCCTAGCTTCCTTCAGGCTTTGGCTCCAATGCCATCCTCTGTAGGAGGCCTTTCCTGGGGCCCCCAAGCTGCTAGTGCTTTCCCTTCTAAGATTATTTTCCATCAATTCTATTACCTTTTATGCACCTATTTATTCACATGCTGTCTCCTCCATTAGAACCTAAGTTCCTTGAAGTCAGGGGCTATTTTTGCTTATGTTTTTATCACCAGTGCTTAGTACAAAGTGCAGCACATATTAATGCGCTTACTCTAAATTCCCTTTCAGTTCTGAGATCTATGATTGTCTAAGGCTTTAAGTGATTAATCAATAAGCACTTATTAAGTATTTCTGCATTTGGAGGACACTCTGCTAAGTGCTGGACACACAAAGAAAAATTAAAAACATCCCAAGCCTTCAAGGGGCTTAAATTCAAATGGCAGAAACAACATGCCAATAAGTAGGTGTATACAAGATATACATAGTATAATAGAAGGTAATGTCAGAGGGAAAGTACTAGCAGCTGTGGGAGTGTGGAAAGGCCTCCTACATAAGGTGTCATTTCAGTTGCTGCTTGAAGGAAGGCAGGGATTTTAGAGGTCAAGGTAAAGATGGCGTGATTCTGCCTAATGCTGTTGCTTTCCTGGATTTTATATCATATTTTTTATTGTCATATCCAGAATCTGACACAAAACTACTAACTCTGAATGACTTTGAGTAAATGACAACCTCCTTGTGGCTCAATTTCATAATCTGTAAAATGAAGGAGTTGGAATAGATAATAACTAAGGTTTTTTTAGTTCTGAAAAATCTATAATTCAACTTGTGAATCTATAATAGACTTTTCCTTTTATTCCTTCATGAAAATAAAATAAAAATATTTGACATGGTATGTCTGTTTAGATAGAAATATCAAAACAAAGCACGCTGTTAAAACAGACACTAAAGCTTTGTTTAAAAACAATATTCTTAGTATTCTCTAGCTAATAATGTTATTAAAGTTTAACTCCCATATTACTGAAACGTTTTTTTATAATATGTTAAACATATAAATTGAATTCAAAGTTTTCAAAAGAGATGTGAATTTTTTGCTAGGGGTACTCCCTCCACCAACAAATATTACAACTGGGCCCTTCATTGATGGACTTAAGGAGTTGCTATAACAAAAGAAAAAGTTGTCAATCAAACTTCTAGTGACAAGCCTCTTCACGCACTACTGGGAATTAACTTCAAAGCTTTTTGCATCCTATCAGAACCTGCCACATCTTGAATTCTGTTGGTCTAGTCTTTAAGATCACCAAGCCACTGCCCATAAAGTTGAGACATTAGAGGAGAATTCTAATGATTTAATACTAAATTTTACTTCACATACATTGGGTATAACCACTAGACACAGAAAAAAGTAGTTTTAAACAGCAAGTAAGAGTCAAAGCCTAGATCCTGGGGTTAGCACCTACAACTATAGCAACGAAAGTCATTTGAGAGAGATAAGTAATTAAGTATATTTGAAAGAAATCTTCAGAATAAGAAGTACAAGCTAGTTAATAATCACATGAAAGAATGCTCCAAATAAATATTAATAACAGAAATGTAAATCAAAACAACTTTTAAGTTTCACCTGATGCCCTGCAAATCAGTAAAGATGACCAAATATAAGAAGAGTCAATGTGGTAGAGGGGCTCTGGGAAGGGAAGCACACTAAATCCTTGTTGCTATAGCTATGAAACAGTTCACCTAATCTAATGCTAAGAAAGTGTCAAAAATGTACAAGCCCTCTGACCCAGGGATTATCCCCAAGAGGTCAATGACAAAAAGAAAGGCTTCATATATATCTAGATATTTTTAGCAGCACTTTGTGTAATAGCAAAAACAGAAGAAAAAAAAAGATGCCTATTGCTTGTAGAATGGCTAAGCAAATGCAAAAAACATGAAAAAATAACAATTCAGACTAACTGCTACGAAATTACAATGACCAAGCTTGGCCTGCAAAGAGATAAAAGATACTTTCCACTATTTCTCAGTAGAGGTAGAAGACTAAAGGTATAGCAGAATACCACATATAATGTCAACCTTTTTCTGTATATTGGTTGATTTTGGTGAACTAGGTTAGCTTCCAGCTTTTTTATTCCTTTTTATAAAATATTGCTCTCTGTAGTATGAGAAGAGATATATTTAGAAATGTAGATGATAGTGAAAAAAATGTCAATAAAAATTTTATTTTTAAAAACTACACTGACTGGTTGAATAACCTAAAGAGAATGCTTGTTTTTACTTTTATTTTTTAAACTTGATTTGTTTCTTTCTCCACAAACTTTATGAGTGATTGGAAGTCTTTGTCTGATGTGGTAGTTAACCAGTAGAGGAAACTACTCATGGTTTGCCACACCTTTCTCCTACAAGACCCACCAAATGACTGACTTTCTTTACTCTAATAAAAAGGATCTACAAATACAAGATAAATTCTTTCAAAAAATGAGTCAAGTTCAATCCTTGAAAAGTTTAACTGGATGTTGCCAAAGCTTTCAAGAGAACTATAAGATAGGGATAAAAGGGGAATTTTTAGAAATCATTTACACCACCAACTGTTCACTGCTTCTACACCAATTTTTATTGTAAAATAATAATCTTCAAATTAAAGGACATGAAAACAACATAAGTGGTACCAAATTTTAAGTTTCTTATTGAGAACTAGGTATACATTCTAGGTTTCCTCTGAAAGCATTTTTCATTCACACATGTAACAGAAGAGAGTAAAAAGAATAAATGAGTTGTGATGACACTTGACAGGCCATCCATCACATCTCAAGATAAACTATCTAAGAAGCCAGAAATGCTCTGATGAACCACGTTAGTTTCTGATACCAAATCCATATGCTTCAGTAGTAAATCTCTTTCTGGGATTAATACAAGAACTCCCCACAGCATACAATGGGGACAGCAGAAATTACACAGGAAGGAACTGGAATCAGAAGACTAGGCTTCAAATCACAACTATGACAAGTACTATGCTCCCTTTGGCAAATCTCTTTCAACTCTCTGCCTCAGTCTCCTTGCCTGTAAAATGAGAATAACAATTCACTATGATCCTCAAAAGGTTCATAATTGAACAAAAGATGACAGACTTTATATTACAAAGGCATTTAGGAGCATCTAGTCCAACCCCTACATTTGATAGCTGAGGAAGAAAAAGCCAAAAGAAGTCAAATGACTTGACAACAATTACACAGGGAGCCCACCTTGAATTCAAGCCCTGGTCCTCTAAAGGAAAATCCAATCTTCTTTCCACTGCACCAAATACCATTAAAAGGACTCATTTAGCTCAAATCATCAAGAATCATCTAACCTGTGTACAAGGTGATCAAGTGGACTTTGAGAGGAATCTGCTTTGCAATATACTGTTAACTGCAAAACAAGATGGACT